TCGATCGGGACCTTTCCCGATCATGTGACTGCTGTGACGGTGAATCACGGCGGCGGTCACATGACCCTAAAACCCTGCCCCGCCTCCCGGCTTCTGAAACTCGTAAAGGGCCAGGAGGCGCCGGCGCTCAGGGGTTAAAGCAGCCCTGTCACCCCTGCACACATAAAACGCGGAGCATAGGGCGTGTATATAAACATCAGTTGCACCAAACATATGAGGTATCGGAGGGGGAGCAAAAATTCTAGGGCCGCTCACAATTTTCAGGCTTGACGCGTTTGGTATCTGTTTACTCGACTCAGCTTCGTCTTTTATATTATAACCCTCCTGAGGATTTCCCCCCCTTCCGGGCCAGGCCATTTTTTTGCATTACGGCGCGCTGCGTTACTTTAACTGACAATTGCGCGGTCATGCAACGCCGCACCCAAATGAAATTTACATCCTTTTTTCCCACAAATAGAGCTTTCATTCGGGAGGCGCCGGCGCCAAGGGGTTAAGGAACAGCAACAAACTGATCCAGCCATCTCTCTGCTCTCCTGTCAGCACATGTATATAAAGCAGGGGCGGACTGACAACTCATGGGGCCCCCGGGCAATAGGGGATCATGGGGCCCCTGTGCCCTTGCCCAAACTCAAAAAAGCCTATGAAAAAGGTACCAGGGGCATCTCATGGGGCCCTCTACTGACCCTAGGCCCTCGGGCAGTGCCTGAGTTTCCAAATGGTCAGTCCGCCCCTGATCTGCAGCACGCCTGAGGCTCCCTCTCCCAGTCTGAGTGCGGCTGTACAAGAGCCTGATACCAGCCCATCACTTGCACTAGTTGTATTTTAAAAGATATGCGCAATCATCGTATTTGATACATAACTTCCTACCTTTGATGGGTTTTTTTTTTTTTTTTTTTTCGGGATCTTCTCAGAATTTGGCTTTAAAAACGAAATTAACAAGACATTTGTATGAAAATGAAAAAAAAATCAGCGGGAGCCGCACGCCGAGCCGCCTACATGACTTCGGCTGAGAAAGCTCCTCCAGACACAGCGAAAGGACGTTACCCTAAGCAGAGGCGCAAACCACAACATCAAGCAGGCAGGTCCCCTCCTCTCACCTCTTTTTTCCTCCTCTTTGTCTTGGTCGCCTTGATCTCTTTTGATTTTTTGGATTTTTTCCTCTTGGGCGCGGGGACCTGTTCCTCGGGGAAGAATTCCTCCTCGATCTCCGGCTCTTCCATCCCTCTTTCTTCCTCGTCTGCGAACAGATACAAGAGAGCGTCAGCGCCTTCCTCCCGATCTATTTTCCTCGTGTTCCCCGCACATATTAGACATTTTTAGCAGTGGGAGGGGAAGGTGGATTGTGAATGTATTTTGTTGCTACTGACCCCCCCTCCACCCCACCCCCACTCTCCCCCCTGAATTTAAACGAGAATGACTTTTCACGGCTGCTATATTGCAAACAAAGGTCAATGCCATCAGACAGTAACAACATGCAAAATAGATCTCCTGCCTCCTAATCATCGGCAACCCTCAGAATTCCATTACTCCCCCCCCCCCCCCGCTGGAACCTGCGATGCTGAATTCAGGGCGAAGATGACATCTGGATCATAAAGGTTATTAGGGAAGGAAAACTGAGCATGCTTCACCAGGACAATCAGCGGCATGGTTAAAAAAAAAAAAAAAAGTGTTGCCCCCCTCACCCCCACCCCCAACAACCAATCACGGCTCAAAAGATAAAAGCATCCTGAGGTTGCTGAAGGCAACGGGAAAACTTTTTCTTTTGCAGGTTGTGCGCATTGGGGGTGCAAAATCCGGTGCAGCTCTGCATAGGTTTTATAGTTTCACATCTATGTAGATTGCGGTTGATGCATTTTGCGGGTTTTTTTTTACACACCCATGTTTGATGCGTTTTTTGGGTGCTTTTTTTATGTGTTTTGTGCAACTTTACCTAGTTGTCAAGGAGCAGGCGGCTGCTGGCGTCCTTAACAACCTGTGAACAACATGGTCGTTAAGAAGCGGGCGGCCGCTGTGGCCTTGACAACTTAATGAGTCATTAAAAATCGGGAAAAAAAAACAGTGTGGGGTTCCCCTCAACATCCATACCAGACCTGAACGGAGAGGGGCTTCCCCCCCCCCCCCCCCTTGCATTTTTTTATGTGTTTTGTGCAATTTTACCTGGTTGTCAAGGAGCAGGCGGCTGCCAGCATCCTTAACAAACTGTGAACAACATGGTCGTTAAGGAGCGGGCGGCTGCCACCTCCTTGACAACCAATGAGTCATCAGTTGTCAGCGTGGTTCCCCTCTGACAACTGAGTATAAACAAAACAATTGCCGGAAATTAAAAATCGTGAAAAAAACAGTGTGGGGTTCCCCTTAAAATCCATACCAGACCTGAAGGGAGAGGGGCTCCCCCCCCCCTTGCATTTTTTATGTGTTTTTGTGCAACTTTACCTGGTTGTCAAGGAGCAGGTGGCTGCCGGCCTCCTTAACAACCTGTGAACAACATGGTCCTTAAGGAGCAGGAGGCCGCCACATCTGTGACAACCAATGAGTCATCAGCTAGCAGCGTGGTTCCCTGCTGACGGCGGAGTATAAACAAACCTATTGCCGGAAATTAAAAATCGTGAAAAAAAACAGTGTGGGGTTCCCCTTAAAATCCATACCAAACCTGAAGGGAGAGGGGCTCCCCCCCCACTTGCATTTTTTTATGTGTTTTGTGCAACTTTACCTGGTTGTCAAGGAGCAGGCGGCTGCCGGCGTCCTTAACAACCTGTGAACAACATGGTCGTTAAGGAGTGGGCAGCTGCCGCATCCTTGACGACCAATGAGTCATCAGCTGTCAGCGTGGTTCCCCTCTGACAACTGAGTATATACAAACCTGTTGCTGGAAATTAAAAATGTAAAAATCAGGAAAAAAACAGTTCCCCTTAAAATCCATACCAGACCTGAAGGGGGGGGGGGCTTCCCCCCCTAAAGCATATTGTCCCCATGTTGAGGGCATGTGGCCTGGTACGGTTCAGCAGAAGGGGAGGGCACTCACGTTTCCTGACTTGCCCTGCTGCGCTGCATGCTCGGATAAGAGTCTGGTACGGATTTTGGTGGGGACCCCCACAACGTTTTTTTTTTTTTAATATTATATTTTGTCGTGGGGTTCCCCTTAAAATCCACACCAGACCTGAAGGGCCTGGTATGGATTTCGGGGGGGTTGTAGTTTGTTGCCGTTCCACAGGCATGCATAATTTTAAAGCGTGAAATGTTTGGTATCTAATTACTCGGCACAACATCGTCTCTTAGATTGTAAGCTCCCAGGATCAGGGCCCTCCTAACCCTCTTATATTGAACTGGATTGTCTCCCGGTATATTGTAAAGCTCTGAGCAAACTGTTGGCGCCATAAATCCTGTATAATAATAATAATAATAATAAATCCTGTATAATAATAATAATAATAATAATAAATCCTGTATAATAATAATAATAATAATAAATTCTGTATAATAATAATAATAATAAATTCTGTATAATAATAATAATAATAATAATAAATCCTGTATAATAATAATAATAATAAATTCTGTATAATAATAATAATAATAATAAATTCTGTATAATAATAATAATAATAATAATAAATCCTGTATAATAATAATAATAATAATAAAATAATAATAATAATAAATCCTGTATAATAATAATAATAATAATAATAAATCCTGTATAATAATAATAATAATAAATCCTGTATAATAATAATAATAATAATAATAATATAAATCCTGTATAATAATAATAATAAATTCTGTATAATAATAATAATAATAATAATAAATCCTGTATAATAATAATAATAAATTCTGTATAATAATAATAATAATAATAATAATAAATCCTGTATAATAATATTAATAATAATAATAATAAATCCTGTATAATAATAATATTAATAATAAAAAATTCTGTATAATAATAATAATAATAATATTTTACTAAATTAAGTATTATATTGTGTGCATTTTTTTCCAGCAAATATGTGGGTTTGATATATCGCAGCACAAATTCCATGAGACATAAATAATTGCAAAGACGGCCATTTTATTCTCTAGGGCCTCTGCTTAAAAAAATATATAATGTTTGGGGGTTCTGAGTAGTTGTCTAGCAAAACAAAAAAATACAATTTTTACATGTCGGAGAGAAGAAGGGCCGGAACTGGTCCGGTAGGCAGGTGGTTAAGGACTGCTTTTAGCATCAGTATTACAAAGGGGGTCCCTCTCCAACGGTTCAGAAGATTATCAGTCCTAACACTCATGTCAGGAGAAGAACGTACTGAGGCAGAACTAGAAGACTCCGGCAACAACACCATCGCAAGGGAAAGGGAGAGAAAGGAATGAAGACGGGGAAAAAAGGGGGGTGCTAGGAGACGAGCCCCCCTCAGGGGTCCTCCGTAGACCCAGATGAGCCAGACATTTTATAAAAATGTAAAGGGTAACTCTACTTTCATGGGGAAAAATATATATATATATATACACACACACACAATATATTGCCAAACGTATTGGGCCACCCTCCAAGTCATGTGATTCAGGTGTTCCAATCCCCTCCATATCATGTGATTCAGGTGTTCCATTCCCCTCCCAATCATGTGATTCAGGTGTTCCATTCCCCTCCCAATCATGTGATTCAGGTGTTCCAATCCCCCCCCAATCATGTGATTCAGGTGTTTCAATCCCCTCCATATCATGTGATTCAGGTGTTCCAATCCCCTCCATATCATGTGATTCAGGTGTTCCAATCCCCTTCCAATCATGTGATTCAGGTGTTCCAATCTCCTCCCAATCATGTGATTCAGGTGTTCCAATCCCCTCCATATCATGTGATTCAGGTGTTCCAATCCCCTCCATATCATGTGATTCAGGTGTTCCAATCTCCTCCCAATCATGTGATTCAGGTGTTCCAATCCCCTCAATATCATGTGATTCAGGTGTTCCAATCCCCTCCCAATCATGTGATTCAGGTGTTCCAA